TTCCTCTAAGGCCTTTTTAACTGACTTTTGCATCTCTAACTGCCTCTGTGCCTACAAAACAATGACATCATTTAGGTTTGTTCGTTTAATGAGAAGGGCATTATTGTCTTTTGAACATGAAAGGGTGGGGGTGGGTGTTACCTTGATTTTTGCTTGATAAGATGCAAATAAAGTGAGTTGTTCTGAAGTCTTTTCAGCCTTTATAACTTCTGGTTATGCAGTTTTTTCTAGTACCAGTGAAATCTTTTCTCCTTCATAACCAGTATTTTGGTCATCATCAATTTGGAAACTTTTAACCCCTCTTTGAAACTCATACATAACATCCTCGAAAATGCTGGAACATCTACAAAAATAGCCAAATATTAATATCTTTTTGTTTATTATTTATTTAACAAAAAACCATACAAGTATTACCTGTAGTCATACAATTGCACCCTTTTACTTTCCATCCTCTTTGATCTCACCACGGAGCCCCCATCACAAATGTATATCAATGTAATGAATGTATCATACAAATTACTTGTCAGTTGTGACAAGAGTATATTTTATAAGCTTAAAAATGCACTTCCCTGTATAAAATAGGATATATACACGTGACTCCAACTGAAGTGTTAGGAACTACACCTCTAGAACCTTTTAATGCACTTCAGGGGAAATCTAACACACTCATTTTTACCTTTCATGTAATCGTAAAGTTACCAAATTTGCTTCAATGGTAGATCCATTTTCAAGTTTAACATAAGGAACAGAGGCCAAGCTTTTCATTGAGGCACCCTGCAAATGAAACATCATGTCAACAAAATATTTAAGCTCCACATTACGTTGAAGACCATTTGTATATCTTTTTAGAGTTCTTAATCTTTTGGGTCAGTGAATAAGTGAAGAGCCTTGGCAGAAGATGATTTTCTGGAAAGATGATTTATAAAAGTCTAATGGCCACAGATAGTATCAACTCTAAAATTGAAATGTAACAAGTTGAAACCCTAATTTATAATGTAACTCTCCCTATTTCTTTCCTAAATCGAAAATAAAGATGATAGAAAGATCTCTGTATACGACCAATCGATGAACCTAAACACACAAATTAGGATTAAAATCGAAATTTCCAAAATCAGATTACGTCGACCGAAGAGAGAATCAAAACCCAAAATTTATTTTTTGTTTTCTATGGTTACCTCGTGTTCCTCAGATAGATGTGGAAGGGCCAAGGGTTGAACCAGCAAAAGCCAATTGGAGGCCATAGATGTGTTCATAAGATCTCAAGTGTAAGAAATCTAAAGAAATAAAAACAAAATAACTCCAAAATTAAAGTAAGCAACAAACGTTCACAAGAAAAAGAAATCTAAATGTTCACTTACCTTCCAACTTTTACTGCAGCTGTAATTGTCAAATATACGAAAAACATCATTTTTACTCATATCCCAATCATACCCTCAACTTAAACCGAAGAATAATAATAGTTGTATATAAGGGGTATCTTACCCTTCATCTTAAAATATAGTTTTCCTGATCAACCATGATAGACAGGAAGGAGTATTATCTGTTAAAAAGATTCTTGTTAGCCAAAAGATCGTAGTTTTAATTCTTAGTCCCTAGTTCTCTAGTGAGTTTTCACATTAAAACAAGAAGTCATAAATTATCCATTGGTGATGGAAAGGTACAAAATATAAACTATACACAAAATGAATGACAAATTACCTGCATGGTAACTGGAAAATCATCTTGAAAGTCGGGAGGAAAGAAAAGGTTTTCTTGAATGAGGGGTTTCCTTCATGTATAGAAACAAGAAGCATTAGCTTTTAGAAATAAGAAACCCCAAAGGAATGAAAATGAAAACAATGTGTTAAGAGAATAAACTTGGTTAAGCACCAAGCTCAATTACATGAAGCTTGAAGTAACTTGTCCAGCATTAGAGCTTTTTGTTGCAAAAGTAATAAGAATTGAAGGATTATCATTGCCAGTAACCTGTTGAAGGCATATAAATATGTGACTGTTACCGATGTACTTAAATGGAAGGAAACAAAAAAGAACCCATTTTAACTATGGTATTAAGAGAAGGGAAACATTTGTACTTTAAAAGAGACACATGATTCTACATGTGCTTCAAGAGCTTGACTTCGCTGCTGATCAATTGAAAAAAGCTGCATGTTTCCTTTTACTAGCTGAAGTATCTGCTCAAATTAGAATGTATGGAGAGTATTATTAAAACTTAGCAATTTACCGTAAGTGGTGCTATATGCTAATATGGTACACTAACAAATAAACAAATACAAACCTCTGGTGAGCAGGGGAAATTCCAATCAACCATTTCTCAGATGGATCACATCTATAGTTGATTATCTGATTGTTTGATAGATTAGTTGTTCTGTCAAACATCTTTGTAGGTTCAGAATCACCTATAAAAAGAATGCATCAGGTTTCAAAAAATATAACCTTTAGATTATATACCAAAATGAGAGAAAAAAATAAAGCAGTGTCAATTCAATAGATTAATAGATGCAAACTTCTATCAAAAGCATGAAGAAAAATATGAGAGCAATGAACACTAAATTGGAGATCAATACTACAAAATTGTAAATCCTAGTATACTATGAAGATACACAACAAATCGATCATAAAACCTCAAAACTAAATAACGGGGAAAAAATGCCAGCACCACATCCCTCAATCGGAAACGTACAATAAAATTATTGAAAAAATTACTCCTTTCATAAGTGATTGCGTATTTCTATGTGATTTTGATTGTGTGTGTTCATACGTGCTTGTGTAAGTGTTTGATTGTGAGCAAGAATCAGAATGGAGTCGAGAACCAGAAAAGTAGGAAGAGGAGGATGTCGTCCCCGAGCAATCAACGAGGAAGAAGAGAAGGGAGATTGAGGAAAGGATAACATTATCTTCGACGTTTAGTCATGATGAACACAACATCAAATGCGAGGAATTAAGCTCCAATTGACGTTTTTCGAGCCCTAATCAGACCTTAATCAAATTTTAGGGAAGTGATTACGTAATCGAAGCTTCAATTGGGAAAACTAGGGCTTCAAACTTTGGAGCGCTGTAATGAAGTGAGCGAAGAAGAAAGTGGTGATCTTCGATGCGGTAACAACACCAGGAAGCAGCGCCGATGGAAGACGAAAGGCAAGGTAACTATGGTGGCTGTGGTCGATACCGTGTGAACGGAGGAAAGCGTGGCGAGGTATGTGTAGCGTAAATACGTAATGGAGATATCCTTAAACTTGCATTTACTTTTTTAAAATTTAACCCTCAACTTATCGTGTACTTATTTATTTAATCATTTCCACTAAGACCCTAGGATTGTTATTACTTATTACTCAAAACCAATGTTCTAAAAAGCTCGTCATGGCGTGTCATGGCTCTAAGGCTTGCACCTGCCACCAAACTTTACCAAAACGCCGCCTTAAATCATATATATGTATAAAAATAAATAATAGTTGAAATACATATAAAAATAATAATTATATAGAAAATTGCCGCCTTAAGTCACGCTTTACAAACGCCGTGGCTCGCCAAGGCTCGGAAAAGCTTGAGGTTTGATATTGCCGCCAAGTCACGCCTTACGTTATTTAGAACTTTGCTCAAAACCCCTTTATACAAATTGCAAAATTACCATAACATCAAAGGGGTAAAAAAAATCACTACTATGAAATAATCAAGACATCTATGTAATGACATTATACTATGTAACATCGTATCTTTAATGTGAAATTACCATAATGCTCTTTAATCAAATAAACTATCCTCATGGCCATTTACATAATGTGAGTTTATAATTTTCATTTTTGTTTTTAAATTTATAACGAAATTTGTTCGGTTATCATTATTATACAGTCCTTTTTTTTTAAATTTTCAATCATATATACAATTACTAAAATTATGGTTCATATTTTTTTTTCAACTCATAAATATATAAATAGCTAGTGACCACTATGTTTGGTCACTAAGTTTTTAATTCAGTGACAACTATTTTTGGTCACTAAGTTTCCAATTCAGTGACCACTATTTTTGGTCACTAAGTCTCCAATACCACTATTTTTCATCAATAACCCTCTAATCCAGTGACCACTAGTTTTTGTCACTAAGTCACCAATATAGTGACTAGTGACCACTAGTTTTTGTCACTAAGTCACCAATATAGTGACTACTATTTTTAGTCAGTAATACTTATGATATACGAAAGTAATTATTTGAACTTTATTCTATACTTTAGTGATAGGTGAGTGACAACCATCACGATAGTGGTCACTAAATTTATAGTATTACCAAATTTTAGTGACGACTAAATATCTGATGACTATATGATTTTATTAGTGACCAAATTTTAGGTCGTCACTAAAAAACTGGTCGCTAAAATAGACTTTTCTTGTAGTGTTTTGAATTCTTTGGTAAGATTTCCATTAAAAGAACTGATACTTTGGCGTAAGAGACACAAGCCATAATCCATGAAATCCATTTATCACAAAATTCCATAAGCGTCATCATATTTTTCAAGAAAGACTAACTTATGCTATCAAACGTTTTATTAGAGTCAACTTTGAAGACAATCATTTGCTTTTTTCTTTTATTGGCCCAAGTAATCATTTCATTAACCATGAGAGATTTCATTAACCATGAGAGGAATATCCATGATGTTTCTTCCTTTAATATAAGCAGATTGCTCTTTACTAACGATCGATGTAATTAAACTTATTCATGATGTTGTTTATACCTCCTAGCTATGCTTTATGTTGGTTTGCTTAATCCATTTTATATGTTATTTTTTTTACCTGTGCATACGAATCTTTAACTCTTTTGTTTTTAATCCAATTTAAATGTTCCCTTCTCTTATATACTGACCTGAAAACTTTTGCTAAGACCGTCTTCGAATTCAATTTTTTGGGTGAAGCTCTCCGAAGTCTTTCAAAAAGATGTTTGTTTTATTAGTGAAACAAAACATTGACTTCGAATGTAATACAAGCGCACCTGTCACATGCAGTATTTAATTTGATAAATATCACATGTCTCCCCTATGGCTTAGTATTGAATACCGTCCAATTCTCGTCAATCTAGTACTATTATTGCTTAGTTTAAACTTCTTACTTCCGTTTAAAACTACAATATATGTTATTAGTGATTCACTTTATATGTATATCTTTGACTACACTGATCATATCCTATTTTCATTCTCATTTTGTCGTGTCTCTAAGCTAGTTTTATATTGTTGACACGGTAGAGTACAAAGGTTCGTTAGTGGTAGAACATCCTTCTCAATGGGTATATAAAGCATCCAACCACCTATTCTTTTCTTCACCCACTCCACTTAATTTTTTCCATCTTTAGTAATCAACATAACCTGCAACCCTTTGCATTCTATAGATCTTCCAATTAAAATCTCTTTATTCTTAGGAATGGATAAACTTGGGTTTTACTTGCTAATTCTCGTTCACACCATCCAATACGTCTATGGTGCTGGTACCAATATCACCCCCCTTGACTTTGTCAAAACCTCATGCAAAACCACCCGCAACCAGGCTCTCTGTGTCAACTCTCTCTCAAGTTATGCTGGTTCTATCCAAGGAAGCGATCAGCAGCTTGCTAAAGCAGCCATTGCGGTCAGTCTGAACAATGCCAAGTCAGCAGCTGCACTTGTTTCCAAACTGACAGGAACCTCGAAACTAAAACCACAAGAATACCAAGCACTGAAAGACTGTGTCAATAGCATGACCAGCTGTATTGCAAGTCTAACCCACTCGGTTCAGGAGTTTGGTAAGATGGGTCAGTTTAAGGGCAAGAATTTTGATTGGCACATGAACAGTCTTCAAACATGGGTCAGTTCTGCCCTTACACACCAGAACACTTGTGCTGGAGGGTTCTCTGATAGTTCAATGAATGGAAAAGTGAAGGATATTCTTAATAAGAAGATGACTTCGGTGACACAAATCACAAGCAATGCACTTGCTTTAGTAAATGGGTTTGCATTGAGGCATAAAGAAGTTACCCATAAACCTTAGGGTTATAAATTGCTATGGAAAGAGGTTGGCGTTTTAGTAATATTACAGTGTGCCACAAGTTTTGGTGTCCTTAAGGATTGTGTTTTTGACTGGTCTATGCTGCGCTGGTTTCCAGTGCATTGTTCAGGTGTTTTCTTTTTTTTTTTTTTTTTTTTTTTTTTTTTTTTTTGCCTTACGGCTATTTTATGATAACTTGTGCCTAATGGAATAAAGATAGCAGCTAATTACAAGATAACTTTTGTCATTTCCAGATGATTGAAGGATACCTTTCCACCTTAACATATGTATATTTCATTGAGGTCTGGATTTGTGCAATTTTGTTGTTCTAAGACCCTACATGATACTCTATCTATAAATGTTTAAACCCATCTATTTATATCTAATCAATAACCATAAGAACACCGAGCAGTTCTAATTACAAGATAACTTTTGTCATTTCCAGATGATTGAAGGATACCTTTCCACCTTAACATATGTATATTTCATTGAGGTCTGGATTTGTGCAATTTTGTTGTTCTAAGACCCTACATGATACTCTATCTATAAATGTTTAAACCCATCTATTTATATCTAATCAATAACCATAAGAACACCGAGCAGTTCTAGAAGCAGTAGTGCAATGACAATTTTAACCTCGGTTTCAAGGACCATCGAGTTTTCTGCAACTTAACATTAAGGGGCTGTTTAGATTGATGTAATGTTGAGGAATGGAATTGAATTCAGTTGTGATTGAATTTTGCTGGAATTGAATTCTGTTGAGCGTTTGTCTGCCGAATTTTGAGTTGTAATTGAAATCCATTCACCTGTCTTTTTCTGTTTGGATTGATGATTTGTTGAAGGAATTGAAATGGAATTCTGTCAAATAACAATAATACCCTTTATTTGTTTTTTTTTTCAAATTGCTTTATAATTTACATAAAAAAAATACTTTTAAATAAACCAACAATAAATTTAATACCGATTATAAACATATATAACCTCACAATCAAATATAACTTCCTTCTAGAGCATTTTTCATACATCTTCTAAAATGATAAACCAAAATAAGTACATGTTAGATAAGTTTGGAACATAGATGATATCAACGATATCACAACTTACAAAAAATGAGCAAAGTATCTCAAAATGATACACCAAAATACTACGTGGTACATATCATTCTTCCAACATAAGCTTCTCAAAAGTTTCACGTTCTTCACCTTCCAAGTTCCAAAAGGTCAACACTGCTTCTGGCTCGCGCATTATCTTTCGACTTGCTTTAAACTTATCCCTTTGATCCATTGATGGAATCTTCAAAATTCCAGAAGTCACCATAGAAGTTTTCTTTTGTAACTCCACATCAACATTTAAGGATTGAGACATGGTGGTCGATGCTTCCTGAAGATCTTTGCCAAGTAACGCGGCGGCTTTAGATATTCCCTCAATGAAAGGATCAAATTTACGGTTCCTTTTATTAGTACAAGCACTTGATGTTTCCTCACTTTGTCCATTTGTTGTGGGTGAAATTTCCTCACTTTGCTTATTGAAATCATCTTCCACTTGTAATAATTCTTCTTCCACATTTTCATTATGTGACATATCCTCACAATCTTCAGCTCTATTTCCTTGATCCCTATCTTTTCCAAAAATGATGCAGAAGTCATCAAAATGAGGAACTGATTTATTTTTGCATTTTTCAGCTCCTTTATGCACCTATGACATCCAACAATAGAATATTATTTTGAACAACAATAAAAATAGATCAAAGATATATATATATATATATATATATATATATATATATATATATATATATGTATATATATATATATTAAACATACCTTTACATAAGAATCCCAGACCTCAGGTGATTCGACTGTTCCACATCGATTAACACTAGCATAACCAAACCCACTTGTGTTATTACCGGTGATCATGTCGTAAACAGCTTGCCACTCTTTCTTCATAGTTCTGATTTGTGACTCAATATGAGGTTTCACCAAAATACCTGCATTCGGGAGTGATTCTTTCAATGCTTGTCCCAAATGTTGTAAACAACCACCGTTATCGGCTTTAAACTCACTCGCATTTACCATATTTAACATCGCCTCCACAAGCTTAACATCTTCATGTGTTGTCCACACCCTATAATTTCGACTTTTTTCTATCATACCTATAAATAAACTAGAATTAGAATATATAAAAAACCAAAAAAAAAACC